CCGGGAGCTGGAAGTTGCCGTGGGCAGAGGGGGAACCCTTCAGGTCCCAGCCACCATGGTGCCGTAGCAGCAAAAGTCAGACAGGTCATGGCTTCCGTGAATTTTTTGTTTATTGCCCGTGACCTGTCTGTGACTTTTGCTAAAAATAACCATGACAAAAATCTTAGCCTTACTGATTACCACCGTCGGTCTAGATGTGCAGTGTCTGAGCCTAACTCAGATCTGTTGAGATAATCACAGTTGATTACACAGGAGACTGCAACCCAGTAACTGTCAGAGTGGGAGAATCATGTGATTTCCATCCCAAGCAAAAGGTGATGGTCACAGACCCTGAGAAGGTGAGCTCCAAGAGACCAGGAAGGATCAGAAGTGCAGTTCAACTGGTAACTACCACATACATATATCTATATCAAACCGTGTACCATCTTGGTAATTTTCCTGTGCATTCACCTACAAACAGTTATATAAAACATTTCTCTACTGCAGTTAGATCACAACATATGTTACTAGTAATTCTAGGTACATCAGAATAGATGCTCTGAATGTTTTCTTCATACTTTCTATTATCAAGGATTATTATTTGTTACTTGTGTTACCGTAGCACCTAGCAGGATGAGTTGACCGCAACATCTCATGTTGACATTATCTAACTGTTTCAATATTGTGCTTCACTTAATCACACATTAATCAACATTTCTTCTTTGACTGGAACATACTCACGTTTAACTTCTTTCATGCAGTAGCATCTCTGTTTTAATCTTGGTCTCTGTGATCCTGCCATGGACTTTTGAATGTTATTAAATCTTTCACAGTCAATGAACACATCATTCTAATACACATTTGATCACAGTTCTTTGATATCAGTATAAGGAATAGATCACCAAGATAGTATTATAGTTCGCATGGCCTATTTTTCATTTATCTATTTTTTAATTCTATATCAAAATCTAAGCTCTGAGACAAGAGTATAAAGGGAGGAGCTATCCACCTATCCTTCTGTTCCTCTGTACCAAGCTCTTAGATGATAGACTCTGATGCACTGGGGATGGAGAGTGGGTCATGTAGTGGACATATGCAATACATCTTGAACAATAACAGTTACAAGGTGACTGTTTTTTCTTCGAGTGATTTTGCATATGTCCATTACTAGGTGACTCCCAAGAACTTTCCCTTTGAGGTGGGGATAAGAGTCTCGTTGTAAGAAGGACTACAGAACTGCTTTTTTACATTCTCATCTTCCTTTGATGCAGTAGTAATCACATAATATCTAGCAAAGGTGTGGGCCACATTGCTGTTCTGCACACGTTCCACGACAGGGACATTTCCCACAAAACCATAGAGGTTGAATGTGCTTGTGACAGGTATGACAATATCCTGGGCAAACCTTATGGAGTTAAGTTAAACTACTAAATTAAGTTTAATATCTTTGGAGTTCATTATATTGTAAATGCCAATGTTTGTGTACTATTGTGGGATTTTATAGATGGAAGGATTTTTTTAGGAGGAAGGATTAATGCAATCTCTGGGAGATAATGTGAACTTCAAAAGACTACACTGAACAATATAGTAGACACAATTGACCTTTTACGACAATATGTGTGAAGTGGAATTCCTAGGAAGCATGGGGGAAGAGGAGATTGCAACCCCCCACCTACAAACTCATCCTTTGAAGCTTTTCCCTGAGGAGGGAGCATTTTGTCTGATGATCCCTTGTTACATGAGGGCAGATCAAAGACCCAATATGGATTCTCCAGGGACCAATAGACTAAAAAAGGACTATTGAATAAATAGCCTGAGTTTAAGATGACTCAGAGCCTTCTTGCTGATCCAGCAAATAGACTGGACTTCTGGTCCACAGAGGGCTCCAATATTAGGGAAGCATTGGAAGGACCTGGGCTATGAGGTCCCATAAGATAGCATTCTAGAGCTAAGATGAGGCTGTTATGAACTTCTGACCACAAAAGGTCTCATAGGGGGTGGGGGTGGGGGCAGGTTTGAAGGACTTGCCTGCCAGAGCCCATGTTGCAGCTAGTTGGGTGGATCTCTGGAAAGCTTAATAGCATGCATGTAGATTCTTTTATTGTTGTTTTTTCCACTTCTCGGCTCTATGAGCTATCTAAGTTACATCTGTTCTTATCTGTTTTCTCTGTAATGCTTTTAAATATGCTTGCACAGGAAGTGCTGTGTGGTAACTTACAACTGTTGGCTATTAGTTTCAGAAGAGAAGGCAAGAGAAGCCTGCTTAGGGAGCCTGTCATTGGTGGGAATAACACAGTGAAGGCAGGGAACTAGTAAAGCCTGGAAATACACCAGTCAGGAGGGAGAGAGAGGTAGGTCTCCATCCAAGAAAGGCAATAGCTAGGAAGCCAGAAACTAGAGAGTGAATGTCCTTGCTGTACCACTAAGGGGAAATTCAGGAGCAGTTGGCCTGAACTGTGACAGTGTTCTGGTTGGATACACAGAGCTTTTCTGGATGCCCTTGATCTTGTAACACATGACAAAACAACTGGTCCACTTGGACAGTCTTTGCACTGTTACAGGATGCCCCTTCATTTGTTCCACAAAAGACCCAAGAAGGCTTTGTTCTTTCCAGATAAAAAGCTAGTACTCCGCAAACATCCAAATTGTGAAGCTTTTGTTCATCTTTATGAGACTGTGCTTTTGGAAAGAAGACCAGAAAATATATTGATTGATTGAGGTGGAAATCAGACACTACTTTGGAAAGAAACTTAGGGCTGGTCTACACTGTGGGGGGGAAGAATCGATCTAAGATACGCAACTTCAGCTACGTGAATAGCGTAGCTGAAGTCGAAGTATCTTAGATCGATTTATCTTTGGGTCCACACGGCGCGGGATTGACGGCCGCGGCTCCCCCGTCGACTCCACTACTGCCGCTCACTCCGGTGGAGTTCCGGAGTCGACGGGGAGCGTGTTCGGAGATCGATATATCGCGTCTTTATGAGACTTTATGAGCAATATATCGATCCCCTATAAATCGATCGCTACCCGCCGATACGGCGGGTAGTCTGGACGTACCCTTAGGGTGTAGCCTACGCTGTACCTTCCCCTTATAAAAACCGTGTACGAAGGATCCGTCACCAGAGCATGCAGCTCTCCTACTCTTCTTGCTGAGGTGATGGCTATTAGAAAGGAAACCTTTGCTGAGAGGTGTAACAATCAGCTGGTGGCTTGTGGTTCAAAATGGGGACCCGTAAGGGCTGAGTTCAAATCCCACTGTGGAGCAGGGACAATCTTTCTAGGCCTTTAAGGAATGTGAAGATCATAGGGTTAGAAAATACAGTCCAATCTATAACACAAGGATGAAAACACCAAAATTGCAGCCAGGTGCACATTGATAGAGCTGAATGCCAAACTTGACTGTTAAATGTAACAAAATAATCCAATATCTTTTGAATTATAGATTGCATAGGGGACACATTGTGGGGAGCCATCCAGATAGAGGACCACTTCTACTTCCGCCGACTTAATGCACTTAGTGTGGACGTATGCAATTGACTGTATAAAATCGATTTCTAAAAATCGATGTCTATAAAATCGACCTAATTTCGTAGTGTAGACATACCCTTAGATGCATCTAAAGTCCTACCTCTTTTGGGGCAACAAAAGCTCAAACTATTAATCAAAGTCTCTCAACAAATCTACCTCTCTCTGGTCTCTGTCTTCAATCTCCTTCCATTACTCTGGAGTCTTCTCCTCCAGCTCTGAGGCTGAGTACTGGCTCCTCAGAATGAGTCTCTCTGAAGGCTCTGCTCTTTTGCAGATTCTGGCTCAGGCTCCTTCACCGGAGTCCCTTTGGGTTCTCCTCTTCAGACTGAACCTTCTCCCCTCTCATGAGCACCAGGTATCTGTTTAGTTATCACCTGATGCCTTCCAGTCCTACCCATCTGGTTGAGAAGCAAGTAATTAGGTACATATGACACCCGTCATAATTAATCAGCTATTAAACCCTTTCCAACCTGTGATTGGGTTACAGTGGACAATTGGTAAAGAAAAAGAAAAAAAGGACAAAAGAAAGAGCTCAAAGACCTGAAAATTAGTACTACTAAATAACTGAAAACAAGAAACTAACTAAAAATGGTTTGTTTGCTGAAGGAACAAACAGACAACATGCTTCGACCACCAGCCATGGACAGTAAGAAGAAACTGAAGGATGGGCGGGGAGGGTCCATACTTTATATCCTCGGCTCAGAGCACGAGAATACAGGGGTAGAGGTGTGGCCCCCATTACAGGTACTACTAAAGAAAACTCTCCAGCACCGGTGCATGAGATGTGCACAACCTAGTCTAATGGACATACGCAATCACTCAAAGAAGAACGACCAGATTCAGGGGTGGCAACGGAACTGGATTCATGTTATATCAAATGTTCTTCCAGTTAAATTTTGCACGTCAGTGGTTTCAGCTGAACAAAATCATATTACAGCAATGAAAAATTTTAAGGATACAACAAAACACATATTTTTCATTAACTTTGCCACAGCAGATATTTTCTATGGTCCCTATTCAGCAAGGTACTTAAGCAATTGATTTTACACATGTGAACAGTCCCATTGAAATCATTCATAGGAGTTGTAGCAGTTTGAAGTCAATGGAACTATTAACATGCTTAAGGTTAGGCACCTGCTTATATCTGTTACAGCCTGTAATATAGCAAGATAATATCTTTTTTAGGGAATACAGTAATATAGAGTAACAACAATGGAAATTTCAGCTGCAGCAGCTCTCCAATCAATGTATATGCATGGAACAAACATACAAATAAATTTGTTTGATAGAGTTTTGTCATTTTATATTTTTGTACACTTGTATACTTTTGTTGCTACTGTTGTAAATTTGTAAGGAATTTTTTTTCCTTGTAGATTATCCAATTCAGCAATCCTATTTAAATTCATCCACATGAAACCCAATAATCCTAGATGTTGAAGATGAGAAGTTAACTAAAACATTTACAGTTACCACCTTCTATGATATGTGCTTACCTTCCTCTTCCTTTTCTTTTGATTTTGTAGAATTTTCTTCTCTCTTTTGCTTTGCTTCTAGTAATTCACGTTTCAGCTGGCGTACTTCTTTGCGTAGTTCCTCACTGCAAAGAGAACAATATTTACATGAGTCTAATCTAAGAATGTAAAGCCACTCAGGAGAAACAGAGTCAAAGTTAATGGGCAGTAAATCTCTGATGTAAACAAAGGGAATGTATTGCCTCACTCTTGTTAAGTTTGGTATGAAGAACTTGGCTTAAAAGTCAATTGGAACCTTAAAAAAAGCTCTTCTTTACATTAGCAAAGACAACAAAAGAGTATGATAAATGGTTTCTTTTAAGAGCCCATTAGAAATATGTCAAACGCACAAGACAACCAGAACAGGGACTCTACATTTATACTTTGATTCATTAATTTAACATTGTATCATCCATAATACTTAACTACAAGAACCACACTTAAAGGAAATAAAAAGCAGAGGGATCTCAAAACAAATATAATGTTGTCTTGTGAAATTCAATTTACTGAAGTGATAATTCTTCCAATCTAAGATTTCAAATATGGACAGTAAATGGAGTCGATGAATCTGCATAAATATGATCCAATACAGAGTAAGTATTTTTAAAAATATATTTTGAGTGTTATGAACTTTACAAAACAATGAACATCTGAAAAAGGCAGAATGGAGAAAACCAAAAGGGTGAGACAGATGTAATATTAACACTGAGAGTGATGAGTCTGATTTGTTAGTTTATAATATGTTTTAAACATTTTCTACTGAATTTCCGTATTATGATCAGAATACTTGTTTTCTTTCTATTACTTTTTCTAGGGGGATTGTTTCTTTGGCTCTTCAATTATTAATAAAATTATGTAGATGAATTATTGACTGTCCAAAGCTATCCCCCAAAAGTGTTTGTTCAATTCTCGCAAAAGACGATCATACTGTATGAAGGGATAATTCATTGAGTTCCAAAATGAAGTCTGGTTAGTGATAGAAAAAGTGTGAAAGCCATGATTACTGGTCACTATTTCAAGCTTTTTTGGTATTCTAATTTATATATTCTCGGTTTTGCTTTTTAATTTGTAACTGATTTAGTGCTCATGAAAGTGACTGAATAGGAACACTGGCTAGAGCCGAGCATAATGTAGGAATGTGCTGTGCAAGCTTCCCCCCACAGTTCTGTCAGTGCACTTTAATTCTGATCTATAATACCCTTGTTATTCCAGTCCTGGGCCTCTCGAGTCAAAACTTGGAATTATGTGCTGATTAATTCTTTTGATTTTTATTTTTAATCATGTGTGAATGGGATGCTTGTGAAAAGTAGCAGAATAACTAGAATATGAAATCACTGATTTATTTACAAAAAATGGTCAGGAATAGTGCAAACTCTGCCCTATTGTCTGAAGGGACCACTTAGGCTTAGAGGACAGTCTCAACTCTATGCTTATTCAATCCTTCACATCTGTAAGATACTTTTGTTGTTTCACTTTGCTAACAGGTGCACGAACACTTCAGGGTAGCTGCAGGTTAATTCTTGCTGACTCACTTAAGCTTTTAATGTTTACTCTGAATATAAAGGTGATTGACATATCCCCTAGAGAGAAAGCTTAGATCTCGGATGCACAGACCAAGGAAGTACCCCTAAGTCAGCTAAAACTGGGCCATCTTTAACAACGCCAGCAACCACTTCCTCCCCGGGGGCAGCTTCACCCGATTTGCCGACTAGAGGTTTATCAACAGGAGCCGGCTCAATTGCGTCCCATTGAACAGAACCGTCCGCCACAGGAATTGGGACAAGCGATGTAGGAAGTACGGCTACCCCAATGAGATGCTACCCCACGTCCTGCGTAGCTGCAAGCCCCATTGGAGAGCTTGGTAGCTGCGACACAACGCCATCCAAGATCACCTGGCCAGAGCCATCCCGCCACCCGTGGGGAAGGTTGCTGTAAATTCTGCCATCCCCGGAACCAACAGCCAACTACGGCCGGTCAGCGTCATCACCAACGAGGACTGGAAGATGATCATCATGATGGACGTCACAGTGCCCTTTGAGAACAGGACCCTGGCCTTCTATGATGCCCAAGCTCAAAAAGTAGAGAAATATGCCCCTCTGGCCAAAACCTTGAGAGCTAAGAGTTACCAGATCCAGACACAGGCACTGATCGTCGGAGCCTTAGGTGCATGGGACCCCAGTAACGAGCGAGTGCTGATAGAATGCGGAATCAGCCAACGCTACACTCAGCTGATGCAGCAACTCATTGTGTCAGATGCAATCAGATGGTCAAGGGACAGCTACCTAGAACACATCACCGACATCGGCAATACCAGGAGGGATGAGCTGGAGTGCTGATGAGAAGTGCAGTCAGGAAAGTAACAAATACTTTCCCTCATGGATTGTATTTTCTAAATAGACAACCAATCTCATTCTCAATTACTGAGAGATAATCTCCACTCATTGATATATTTTGCTTTCCACAACCAAATCCCTGTACAACTTTTTATGAGTGATGTACCCGAGTATTCGGATTCTAATATCTAAACTGTATGGTTAAATCTATTCACCTAAATTTGGGTTATTGCTGATTATGTACTCTATGTATCCTATGACTTAAAAGCTAACTTTATATTTGTGGATAATCTAAGCACTATACCCAGATGTACAGACACTGTTTTCCCAACCTATGTATTATATAATTTTTTTTACATTAGCTTTAATAAAATGTTTAAATTTGTGCTCTCGACACTGTTTACTGGAAGTTGGACAGAGACCAACATATTTCACATAGATCATCAAGTAGCCAACTGGTAAGAATTTGCCTGACAACTGACCGGGGCTACATTTTAATCAGCTTCTAGAGATGAAGAGTAGGTTTGTGATGTGCAAAAACATGAATTAGGATGAACCTAAACAACTTAGTTTTCCACTTATAACCTGTGATAACGAAGGGGGGGGGGAGGGGTAGCTCCCTTTTATGGACCCAGCCAGCAAGTTATCTATAAAATCCCTCTTAGTAGCTGTTCTCTAATTGCTCTACCTGTAAAGGGTTAAAAAAAGTGAGTGGGCACCTGGCCAAAAGAGCCAACGGGAAGGCTAAAACTTTTTAAAATTGAAACAAGACTCCCCTTTTGATGTCTGTTGTTCTCCGGAGAGAGAGAACAGAGCAGCGATGCTGTAAGAAGCTTGGGGCTAGGTATGAAAAATCATCAGATCATATCTAGAAACTACTCATTTGAAACCCCAGATGTATAAGTAGATCAGGAAATGTCTAGGAAGACGTGATTAGGTTTATCTCTATTTCTTTATGGCAGGTGGACTCCTCTGTGCTAACCCCAAATGCTTTTGTTTTGCTTGTAACCTTTAAGATGGACCTCAAGAATGTTATTCTTGATGCTTAATCCTTGTTTGTTTGTTTTTTAAAATCTAGCAATAGCCTATGTTTCCAGATGTATTTTCTTTGTTTTTGTTTTTAATAAAAATAACCTTTTTAAGAACAAGATTGGATTTTTGTGTCCTAAGAGATTTGTGCACATGTTGTTTAACTAGCTGGTGGCAACAGCCGATTTCCTTTGTTTTTCTTTCTCAGCTCTTCCCCGGGGATATGTGTGTGTGTGTCAGAAAGAGAGAGAGGGCTTCAGGGTACCCCACAAGAAGGAATTCCCAAGTGCACCTTCCTGAATTCTCAAAGGGGTTTTGCACTTCGGTGGTGGCAGCATCTACCCATCCAAGGTCAGAGAAAAGCTGTAACCTTGGGAGTTTAATACAAGCCTGGAGTGGTGAGTAATAATTTTTAGAGTCCTTGTGGGCCCCACCTTTGGCACTTGAAGTGCCAGAGTGGGGAATCAGCCTTGATATAACTGAAGTCTGTATTTGAACCCAAGTCATTCTTTCATCTCAAAATGCTAAACCTTCAAGAAAACATATTGAGTCCATGCATTTATCAAGACTTAGTAAGTCTTGACTCCACTCAATTAAAAAAAAAATCCTTAAAGTTCCTTAAAACTTCTCAAAACATTTCAGACTCATCTGCAGTTGCTGTGTTAGGAACACAAGCTCTCCTACATGGGTTTTTCCCACATACTGGATAGGAACACCCTCTGGATAGGAACTTCCACTCGGACACCCTCCTAGCTGATGTGATGGCGACCAGGAATGCCACCTTCCACGACAAATACAGAAGGGAGCAAGTCACCAACGGTTTGAAAGGGGGCCCCATTAGTCTGGAGAGGACCAGATTAAGGTCCCATGCAGGCACAGGCTGTCAAGTCTGTGGATATAACCTTTCCAAGCCCTTGAGGGAACGCCCCAACTCTCCCGGGTGGAAGGCTGAGATAGCAGCGAGGTGTACCCGGATGGATGACCCTGCCAGGCCCTGTTGTTTCAGGTGTAGGAGGTACTCCAGTACGAGTGGTATAGGCGCCTGGAGCGGAAGTGTGCGATGCTGGGCACACCAGCAAGTGAACCTCTTCTACATAGCTAAATAAGTGGCCCTGGTGGATGGTTTTCTGCTGCTGAGCAGAAAAAACGATTATTCACTTCTCCTAACTGTTGTTCTTAGAGATGTTTTGTTCATGTCCATTCCAATCAGGTGTGTGCGTGCGCATGTGCATGGAGGCCGGAAGATTTTTCCCACCGCAGCATCCATTGGGCCGGTCTGGGCGCCCCATGGAGTAGCACCTTCATGGCACTCAATATAGAGACCTGCAGACCCGCCACCCCCTTCAGTTCCTTCTTGCCGGCTACTCCGAGAGAGGGGTAGAAGGGTGGGTATTGGAATGGACATGAACAACACATCCCGAAGAACAGTTACAAGAAGTGAGTAACTGTTTTTTTTCCTTCGAGTGCTTGCTCATGTCCATTCCAATCAGGTGACTCCCAAGCCAAGTTCAGGAGGTGGGGTCGGAGCTGTCCACTGATTGGAGTACTGCTTGTCCGAAGGCTGCAACGTCTCTGGCCTGCTGGGTAACTGCATAATGTGCGGCGAAAGTGTGTCACCACTCTGCAGATTTCCTGGGTGGGAACCTGAGCCAGGAACGCTGTAGATGAAGCCTGAGCCCTGGTGGAGTGTGCAGTGATCAGAGGTGCGGGAACACCTGCCAAGT